CCTGCCTAAGCAGCCGTCTGCCACTTTCGTTAGCAGCCATATTATTTCCGCCAACAGCCAAATGCCAAATGCAACACTTTATTTTCGCTTTCTGTTTCTGTTTTATTTTCTTGGCGGCATTTGCCACTTACGTTGCAAGTCTAAGTAAGCATTGCCAATATTATTATAGGAAAAGACATTTGTTATTTTATTACAGTTACTTGGTGCCTTTGCCATATGTAGCAGGCGGGTATACCTGGCATGCCAAGACTTTTGAGGTATTTTTACTTTTGGCAATTTTTATTTAAATTTCTTTGTTTTATTGCCTTAAGAAATTATTTACTATAGAGATGGCATTTCTGTATGTAAATATACCGTTTTTTAATTCTTAACCTTGATACTTATTAGAAAATATAACTCCTATTGGATTTTCAACTCTTCTACTCTATATTCACCCTTAATATTTTCAAATTACGTTGCGTTTTCTTCCCGGCATAAATGTTGTAATTTATTTATGTACAAGAGCATTCTTATTTGCTCTCTTCATTCTCACTGTTTTTTCTGCCAGCGTTCGCGTATTTACTTTGTTTCAGCTTCTCACGACTTTTGACCTTCTCTCCTGTTGCTGTCGCTCATGATACACGATGTTTGTGCTGAGGGTTTGTTTTGATTTTTGTTACCGGCATTCTGAGAGCTCTAATTAAGTGTTAAAAAAGTTTTGAATTTTTTTTTCCATAGTTGCTTTATTACGCTATCTAAATTATTTCAATAAACGAGTCCACTATTTTTAAATATAACAATGGACAACAGAAGAAAGGAGGCTTAGCGGCAGATCCGCACTTGGGATTTAAAACTTGCGTGACTTCACAAAAGATTGAGGCAACTATCGAAGTTTTCTGTTCTCTACCCAGACGGACCAACGGTTGTAGTGTCAGAGAAGAAGTACAAATTGTAATTTTTGAGCTGTTTTTGCATTTTTTAAATATTACATAAAACTATAGTCTTCAGGATCCGCAACTTACTTAATTATTAGCTTTAAATCGGAGACTTAAAAAATAACGCTTCTATACTGATATCGCTATTTTTATAATAAATCTCCCAAGTCTTCGTAATCAATGATTTTAAGATGAGTATTTGAATGCTCTGTCTATAGTAGATGTTAGTTACTCAGTTGCTTTCGTAGCATGAGAGTGGATAAAATATATGTATATATGTATAGAGCAAAACACCCAGCTCCCCATATCCCCCATATAAAATATCTAATACTCTCAGAGATCCAATTCTGTAAAATTGTAAAACCTTAATACCTTTAAAGTAAATTGCAAAAACTGTGTCTTTTGTTCATGACATCATGGAATAAACCTTTTTTTTTATCAGACGACCCGAAAAAATGTAATGAGACGAACATACAGTGACTCACAGTGAAACTGGTAAACCTTTACCAAAAATCCTTTCGCTGCAAAAAAAATATAGAAAATTAATATAACTTTTATAGCTGGAGTGTTTTCATCGATTCGTACAACTTGATCTAGCCAGCGTAGCTACTGTTTTTGAATTATCTGAACCTTGTGAATATCGTCATATATCTCGTACAGCTCATCGTTCGACTGTAAACCTTGTACAAAATCTTCATCTTGGACACTTTCAAGGTGGAATCATCAGATGCTGTCATTGTCCATGCCCCCTCATCATATAGCAGAATGGGAATAACGTGGGACTTATAAAGTTTGGTCTTTGTTCATCAAGAGAGTACATTACTTTCCAATTGCCTACTCAGTTCTACCTGTTGGCAATAACGATTCTGCGTTGAATTTTGAGGCTGACGTTGTTGTTGATGTTAATGTTGTCCACAGTGACTTGGGAGCTAAGCCGCGAGTAGCACTACTGTTTGTTTTACAAAAAAATATATTTCGCCTTGACCTCATTCACTACGCTTCGCTTCCTTATCTAGTCTGGAGAAAGCAGGGCTAACGATCTGCTTACTTTCCGCAAAATCTTCTCCAGCGGTGTTACATCGCACCACACCACAGTCCCACGACGCGAGACCAAACGTTTTCTTCAATAAATTGTTTGTTTTACGAACTCTATGACATGTAGCGGGCTCTTGTTGGAACCTAAGGTCGTCCACATCAGCATCTTCCAGTTCAGGTACGAAAAAATCATTCATTACTTGCCCTTGACTGTTATATTTTGACCCGCTTCAGTACTGAAAATATATGGACCAGTAATTCTCTATACCTGTATATACCTATAAGGTACACCATTTGACATTTTGAGTATATAACTAGAACCCAAGAATTGTTTGCAAATTATGATCCCTTCAAAAGCGACAATTTTGTTTATTAAAGTACACAGTCAATTAAATGTGAGCTTCATCGCTGAACAAAATTTTCCTGTGTGGGTCATTATTTGGTAAAAATTTGCACGGCTTATAAACGTTGTTCCAGGGTAGGTCTGTTCATTAGAAAATGGCAAAGCCAACTGAGCGTAAATCAACTAAAAGCTGTCAGAAAGACTAACTGCGAAGAAACTTTTCCTCATTGAAAACCATACATCTTAAAATAATGACTTCACAAAGGTTTTGGTATAAGGCAAATTACCGAAACTGGTTGGAAGAGTAGCGGAACGGATATCAGTTGAAAACCCATAAAGCCGATGCTTATAAATACCCATTAATTAGAGAGAAATCCATCTAGTAAGAACCTATTTTGCTGTCGCTAATAGCAAAATATTAAAATATCCAGGCTACCCAGAGGATACTTGATCTAAAACCAGAAGTCGTGAGCTGCTTGAGCCACATGCATCGTTTCTGCCCACTCCCACCTGTCCCCATCCTTTAACCTTTTACCCCACCTTGTTGGAAATTGAGAGGAAGCTCAGGCGCAATTGGGAACTTATGCTTCAGTGAATGGTTTTTGTTGTTCTCAGAGAGGTTTTTTTTATACTTAAAATCATTAATGCCTCTTTTAATATCATTAGTAAACACGCACCAAATTCTGCTACTTTATACGTTGAATTTCGGCTATACCTAAATTTTATTTCATGCATAAACATTCCAAATTTAATTGGCTTGTTTTTAATTGCAGCTTACAATGAGTACAGAATAATTTGTAGAACACTTTACTTTACAATCGTTTCAGGAAATAAATAAAAAAATGCAAATCAGTGAATTTTATAATGAACGCCTACAAACAAGAAAAGTATCGCGGAAAATGGAGGTACAATTAATTAGGCGTCAAAAATGCTAAAAACGCAAACTTTTATTTCAAATATTTAAAGTAGAGCGGAATAAAAAAAAACAACAAGTACCGTTATTAAGAAAAAAATTGTGATAAGCAAATATACGGAAAAGCTAAGAAATTTTGAAATTATGGAAATTAGTGTGGCGCAACAAAAAACCTGGAAGCATTGAGTAACGGCGCTTAAAATAACGGACCAGACCAACTTTGCGAAATGAAACGGACAAATTCACTAAACGCAGACAACAACAATTAGTGGCTAGTGAGAGAAATAAAAATTAACATAACGTGCTGTTGCGGGCCAAAATGTAGAAAAAACAACAACCACACACATATAATAATAAGTTGATAAAATAAGCGGCAGCAAATTAAACATAAACCGCTTATGAAAATAATGCCGCCACAGTTGTGGCCAGAAGACCAGCTAGAAGCAGGAAGAGAACAAGTAAGGCTGCCGCGCAAGCAACTTGCAGCAGCAAAAACTGAAAACACGAAAATAAATTTAGAAAAAAAAGCTTAAAGACCACAAAAAGTGGCGCAAAGTGAAAAAATGCGTGCGAAACTTTGCCCCAATGGAGATGCGCTTACGCAGCGTAAAATAAAAATTTGTTGAAGAAAATCAATTTCACAAACAACAAACACAATAAGCGAAGCATAAGCAAAAAAAAAAAAAAAAAAAAAAAAAAAAAAAAAAAAAAAAAAAAAATTCCAAAACGAAAAAAAAAAAACAAAAAAAAAAAAAGGACGAAAATATGCTGCCAACGCCGAAATAAGCAACTAATAGAGAATCCACAACAATAAAAACAAAACCAAGAACAAAAGCGGCCAAAGTGTGGATACAAAGTTGGCTAAGCTACTTGGCTGACGTGACAGCTAATGGCAATGGCCGCGCAACGCGCAAATAAATGGCTCAAATTCTGTACGCGAACTGAGCAGTCACTTAAGCGCTGCCGCCGCTCCTCGGCAGTCGACGAGACGAAAAAACGCGAGTCTATCGATTTTTGTGTGAGTCAAAGTAAGTACAAAAACAAAAACAAGCAACTTATGGCACAACAACAATTAGTTGTAGAAAACATACCAAGGATTTCCCGAGTTTGCCGTAATATATTATATAAACTAGGATGTTTGTGGGTGTGTGTGCGGAGAAAAGTGAAAGGGGCGCAATAAAACTTTGATTTGCTCATTATTATTAAGTTTGCCTTGCAAAAGCAATAAGCACAGCGTGATAACTAATGCCAAGTTCCGAGTGCTGCACATTGTAGATCAGCTGCGGATATATACTTGAGTATACATATATATACATATTAAGTTGTCAAAAAAAGTCTTGCGGTATTTTTATTGAATTTTCAATTGTTGATAAATTTTTTTTTTATAACTCATGCACAGCTCTTGACCGATGCTACGGCTGCTACGCTCTTGACCTCTTTCGACCTATTCAGCGATTTTATCGCAATTTTTGAGGACAGGCCTTCCGGAGCGTGGCGCATCTTCGACCACCTTTACACCAGAACGAAGACGTTGAAACCATCGTTGTGCGGTGGAAATGGAAACTGTATCGGGTCCATAAACTGCACAAATTTTATTAGCGGCTTCAGGTGCATTTTTGCCTTTATCGTAGTAGTACTGTAAAATATGCCGTATTTTCTCTGTATTTTGCTCCATGTTTGCGACGCTATAACTCACGAACGACTTAATAGAAACAACAATCAATCAAACACGTGTTAGCGCGTGCAATGAGCTTTCCAAAAAGGTATAGCATGACCCGATGCGACGAATAAAACTAGAACTACGCGCTCTCAGCCCCAACTAGCGAAAATACCGCAAGACATTTTTGACAAACTAATATAACTAAAAATTCTAACTCACAACGTTTTTAAGCAAATGCTTGCTGCAAATAACATTGATTAAGAGAATATTTTAAATTATATATAAAAAATGTCATTGCTTTTAGAAGTCATTTCAGTTAGTGTTGTACCATGTGTCTTCACATGTCCACTAAGTCCACCACATTGTGCAAAGCGTTTGCCACAAATCTTACACACATATTTCTTTTGGATGGCATGGATTTCTCTGTGTTGCCGTAGTTGTTTTGCGCTGTTGAATGCTTTATTACATACTGGGCAGATTTTGTCACGCGCTTTGTGATGAACACACTTTATATGCTCTTCTCGTGACAATTTTTTATTGAACCATCTTTCGCAAAGATAACACTTGTATTGTGGTTGATCGTCGTGACAATGCATATGTGTATTAAATTGTGATAAGGATCGAAAACTTTTGCCACAAATCTCACAAACAAATGGCTTTTCGCCGGTATGAACACGCATATGTGCTTTCAAATCTGTAGTTGTTGCGAGTGCCTTATTGCAAACCTCACAATTATAAATGTAATCCTGTACATGTCTCCGTAAATGAACAGTAAAATTAGTTGACGACAGAAACCCACGTCCGCATAGAGGACATTTAAATGGTAAAGAACCATCATGTGACGCCACGTGTTTTTTATGTTGATCTAAACTTAAATCTACTTTTTGGCATATCGTACATATAAAAGGTTGTACGTTGACCTCAAGAAATGCAATGTGATCATAATATGCACATGTTGGTATATAAATCAAACTTTCTTGTTGACAAAATAATTTTTGCTTCTTTTCATTAGTACACATTTTGCGCAGTCGTGCGATTTCGTATTTCAATTCATTTTGTGTTAGATTTTTTCCAGATTGTTTATTAAATTCTTCTTGAAGATCAGTTAATGCTTCTTGTCGCCTATTATTGAATCTAAATGATATATTTGTTTCATCCCAAAGACATGGGAATCCTTTATACATATCTGCCAGCATTATGCATTGTGCAACATTTAATGTGTCTTTTGGTGGACATCTAGATGTGTATAAGAGACAGGTATTTTGCTCCATGTTTGCGACGCTATAACTCACGAACGACTTAATAGAAACAACAATCAATCAAACACGTGTTAGCGCGTGCAATGAGCTTTCCAAAAAGGTATAGCATGACCCGATGCGACGAATAAAACTAGAACTACGCGCTCTCAGCGCCAACTAGCGAAAATACCGCAAGACTTTTTAGACAACCAATATACGAGCGTAGTAAGCATGCAAGTAAAAGTTGATGAAAAGCAAGCTCGAGTAGTTGGCGTAATAATAATTTATCAGTTGTTGGCGGTGAAGTAGGCGAAATGGATTTACTGTTACCGCATTAAAACTTTTATTGGCGCTAAGCGCACACTACTGGTAACCGCCGCTACTAGAAACTAGTTCATAACTAGTAGAATTGTGATAAAGAAAATTAGATTGAATTTGAGGAAGCAAGAAATTAGATGAGCTTATACCAGGAGCCATGCGGAAACGTGACCGACATTGGTAAGCCCATATCTTGTCTTTACGACGATCTAAGCAAGAATGGCAAGGAATATTAAGCTTCATTGGAATGATCAACCAGCATGCAAAACTGTGATGCCATATGAAAAATGGCTGCTTATCTTAGACTAAGTAACGGCACGGCATCTGGCAACGCTATGGACCAAAACTGGACCATATGGACCATATGCGGGGCTCACAAGCTTACCAGATTAAAATTATCTAACCTATTCAATCTGAAGGTCATTTAATAATTATTTATTGATGATATAGAAATAATATTCAGGCCTTGACCTTCTGACCCCCCTCACAATATAACACATCTACACCACACACATCGTGTACCCCACCTCTTTATTCCACATTACACACATCATATTCAACACATCGCATCAGCATATACACCATACCTTCCACAACAGACACCTGAGGACACCAAACACAATTAACAAAAGGGACTGACGGACGGAGCCCAGCCACTTTCGTTCTCGGTCAGTGGGCATACACGTAACCGTAACTTTTAACTTTTCATCGTTCCAATTCGTAAAAAGCTGAGTGCCGGGACTTTATTATTTTATCAAAATTTTCAAAGACAAAGTAGTCAAAGTGATCAGACTCTTAGATCTCTACGGCATAACATTCACATAATCTGGTATTCGGAATGACATATTCCTCTAACAATGCTGATATAGCTATTTTGACGAAAAATACTTCATCGTCATCGACAAAGTACAATCCATAAGGGAAATAGAGTTTAGAAGTTGCAAAAACTAATCTAAAGTAACCTCGTTGACAATACGGTGATGAAGGGAAGGGTGAAGAGATATCAAAACTAACTCTTAGATCTGTCCCGGATGGAACTGCTGTTCCTGAGGCGACCTATAGCAAAAACACCTAGATCCCAGTAGGAATCTCTTCATCACGCCATTCTTCGAACAATAGGATTGGTTAAGCCGGTGGAAATCCGCCGGCAAAAGACGTAGGTAGAGTCATCATACGCGGCGGAATCGCCAGCACTAGCAAAGGAACCTCGGTTAGAACTATGAAAGGCTTTACAGGGGCAGAAGAAAGTCAGCACTGGCGAGGAAGCTAAAGGTAGGCAAAATCGTGAAACACTACGGTGATAAGCATGCTGATCAGGTATATGAGCGTCTCTGATTCGATCTCACCCCTACAGATTACTGTGTAGTTAAGAGTCAGGTGTTGTGAAGTTTCTGGTCTCATGTCGAAAACCGGCAGTTTGCACAAGCGTCTATACCTGTAAAGTCTTAAAAAAAACTTAGAAATCTTAAATCTTATCTTGAAGGCTAAAAGCAAGACACTCGCAGAAATGAAGCAGAAATTTGATCTTTAAGAAATTTTAAAGTATAACTCAAAGTTTTATTGAACATCTTATGGTCGAGTTTTTCATTCTATTCATGTTTTCTTTGAAATATGTTTCCAAATATTGCACTGTAATCTAGAATCGTCTCTAGACCTACTTATATTTATGTTTTGAATCCTAAAAGTATGCAACTGTATATTAGAGCACCTGAGATATATTTTAGAAATATCCGCCTCATGTTAAAAACGCTGTATGTAAGACCTAGCATGCATTATCTTCCAATAAATACAAACTTTTCATCTCTGCTAAAGTTGTGAACCCTAAAATTATACTACAGTATTTCATAGCATTATAGAATTTTGAGGGAAACCACGTCTCAGATCCAAAATGCTTTATTCGAAAGCAAGCTACAGCACTTATCAGATCTATAATAATAATATATACAAAGTCTATACCTCTAATAAAGTTGCGAACCCTAAAAGTTTACTACAATATTTTACAATATCATAAGATTTTGATAGAACACCCGCCGCAGGTCCGAAATACTTCCTTTGAAACCATGCTGTACTGATTTTCAAATCTTTATTAACTCTAGATCTGTATTAAAGTTGCGAATCCTAAAAGTATACTACAATATTATACAGCACCATAAAAATTTCGGAAATAAAGTCGCAAACACTTCATCCGAAGCCAAGCACCGACGATCTTTCCAATCATATTCAGTCATTACACTCAATAGGTGTAGTGAACTAAGCGTAATCCCAATAGTCTCATACCTCCACCTACTATATAAGTGTATAGCAAACTTTGAATACTTTTCTGTGGCCACTTGCAGAACTCTTAGAAATAATTAAAAATTGAAAGCAACCTAGCAACCCGTTATATAACACCCACAGCTGTATTGAATTTGTTTAAATGCTTTTACAGCCTTGTTAACACCAGAGACACTTAACCACACACACACATACACCCACTCACACACTTAAGTAAATGTATGCATGCGAGCTTTTGCTTAAGCGCACTTGCATATATATGTATATACATGTGTGTGTGCTCAGCACACTCTTTAATGCTCGCGTGTGTGTGCGTGTTTGCTTACACCTACAAAACTTTGAAAGTCGAGTAAGTTGCTGCTCTACCCACTACTGCTGCCAACAGACAAGCGCTACAACAACGACGACAACAACAACAATGGCAGTTTTCTGCCTGTCTCTCTAATCCAGCAATTTGTTCAACATCTTCCACTTTACTTGGCTAACTACTTAAGTGGGAGAGTGGGTGTGCTTTGAGTGTTTGCGTGTGTGTGGATACTGTGAGTAGATACTATACAGTTATTGCGCCAGTGTCCTTGTTGTCTACTTTCCGCTTGAAATTTCATTTAATTTCCACGCATGTGTTTAATGTGTTTTTAATTTACTTTTTGGTCGCTAGATAAACGCTGTTGGCGTTCCGTCGCCGGTTGCAGGGAAAGTGAACGCTGCAAAATATTTCCCATTCAACTGCTTGGGTGCTTCAAATAGTTAAATATATACACACTACGCTTTCGTAAGCGCCGCAGTGTACTTCATATTTATAAGTATAAGAGTAAGCGTGTATGTACTTTATAAGGCAATTGGGGGCAAAAGTTTATCTAAATTCTGTTTTTTGTTTACGCTACTCGAAGCGCTACAAACATACATAAATATATGCACTTACTCGCTCTCACTCTCTGATTCTGGCCACCTTCCTTCGTTGTGACCCTCGTGTACAATCTGCACATACGTTTCGCGTTAACGACATTAGATAAGTTAACGGCATCTAATGTCAATTTAATTATGTGAACTTCTACTGTGTATCCGTTTCCCATGCGGCGAGGATGTCTAAACATGCCAAGCTAAATATGTGCGTGTGTTTGGCAGAAAATCGTCTACAAATAGCAATTTCGTACCCGTCCCCCACCACCAACATAACACCACATACATACGTACATTCCTACGTGATCGTTGTTGTTGTAATTTTTTTCTTCTTTCTGTAATCGACGTTTGTTGTCGCTTGTTCATCTGCTTATTTATTTATCGATTTGATTGCTCAAATTTGTTCCAATTTAATTATGTACTCGTAAACCACGGGGGGAATAGTCGAATTCGTCAAAAGGCAATCGATAATAGGCTTGCTTGCATACATGGCAATTTAAATGTATGCATCTACTTCATGTAATTTTTTCGAGGTTCGTATAAATGTTTATTTGCAGAGCTAATATAAATTTTGCTTTTACAACTATCAACTTTTTCTCCGAAGAATTTCTTAAAATCGAAGGTTATGAACTTGTGAAACACCATTGAAATCAATTTTTAACTTGTGAAACATCTGGTTAAGCTTTATGTAATATACTACCGGCAGTAATAACTTTATATTTGTGTTCATTAATACAAACGCTGCTTTAACTTTTTTGACTTTTCTTCAGTCCTCCTTAAAATCGACGATTTAAACTTGTGAAACACATTGTAAAAGATTAAAAACAATTTCATAAGGTTAATAAACTTGTGAGTACAATATACAAATGATTCAATGATTACCTCCATTGAAATCAATTTCAGTTTAATGTTCACTAATATAATTATAATATCATTATAAATGTTTGCACACTTTCTACAAAACCATAAGTTAAACTGATAAATTATCTTTATTATTCTAAACTAGCAATAATTGTTCCCATTTAAAAAGTGCTGACGTAGGTTACGAACTTGTGGAACACTTCTTACAAACTTCAGAACACTTCAGAAAATTGAATAAACATTAAAGTACAAGACATGATTGCATATTGCGATATATAAAATATATTATACATCTTTCACGGATTCCTGTAATTGAATAAAAGTTTAAAGATTTTTTTTCGATTTTAATCGATAAATTAAGTCAGTTAAGACATCTCAGACAACTTACTTTGATCTTCCTTGCACACTGATACAAGTATATGTATTTATTTCATTTTTGTGGTAATAAAGAGAAACTATAAAGCTCGCAACGTCGCGCAATCAAGGAGTTATCGTCGATTATGGGAAGCCGTAGTACAGCTATAACCTATCGAAGTCCAGGGAAATATGTAGCTCAGAAACACCAAACAAAATTAGTCAACTATCGGCAGTCATATAATTCCATGTTCACAATATTCTACCATCATGGTTCA